CAAGGTCTAGGGATTTCATCTTGGCTTCGCTACCAGGAAGTCACTGACTTCAAAACAAGCTGACTTCCGTGGATAGGTGCTTGTTCTGAGTGAGTGATTTACCATGTAGTGAATTCAGGATCACCATGACAGCTGTATCTGTAAAAATAAATCTGTAGTAACCACTTTAATACTTGTTCAGTGGACAGCATAGCCGTGTCAAATCATATTGAAGTGCAATTCTAGCCAGAAATCTCCCGCATATAGTAATATGATGAACAGTTAGTACTTCAGTTTTTTATTGCATTGACTGCTGGGGAAATGCACCTATTCATCATCATTATAAAAAATTAGGAATTCTGAAGTTTTATAGATGTCTCCTAGAAAGACTGAAGGTAAATTCTTCCTTTGGGGGTATCTGTTCCTGTAGTTGGAAGTGAGTAACTTTCTGTTGTCCCTCTGGGATGGTAAGTGGCGTAAAATCTCTTCAGTGGCGAATCTGCAACAGACATCTTTTTCTGTCTCGCTCTGATTAAAAAAAATATATATACTTTAACCTTTGTACGCTCCTTGAGGGTTAGGGACTGATGTGAAGTGCAATATATATGGAAAGCGCTGCGTAAATTGACTAAGTACCTGAAATAAATGAATACTTTACATCATTGCCTATATTTGAGGCCCGTGGGGTGAACATAGGATTACTAGGCTGTGAAATCACTGTTCAGCTTAAGGCCAGTAGAAAAAAAACAATACCTGGCTGTTAAGCTCCCCCACAAATTAGTGGCTCTTATCGGCAATAAATTAGGACACTTGTTCTGTCTGGGCTGCCCGTCAGATAGCAGTGGCAAAGCTCAGATCTCATTATGTGCAGATGGTGATCACCTAAAGGAAGCCAGAGTAGGAAATAGCCATACAGGTTGGGGTAGGAAGTTCCAGAAGTTGGTATAGGCTCTGGAGAAGTTCTACAAGCAAACATGGTGGGAGGAGGTGTTAGGGGAGCTAGAGAGCATGAGGTCTTGGGAAGAATGAAGAGGACAGTTTGGTTGATATGTAGTGATGAGGTTGGTGTAGCACATGGAAGAGTTGTAGATGATAACTTTTATGTTTGGTATATTGAATTTTATTGATCGGAATCCAGTGGAGGGTTTGGTAGAGATGGGTGGTAGACACCATGTGGTTGGGAGATCTCCTATGTAGAGGTAGTCCAGGAGAGTGCTACGTGAATGAATTAGTGGCTTGGTGGTGTAGTTGGCTAGGAAGGGGCATTTTTCAGAAGTTTTATGGTGGTAAAGTTTGAAAGGTTTGGATAGTGGATGTAGGGCTGAAAAGAGGTCAAAGTTCAAAGGTAACTCCTAGTATCCTGGCATGAGAAGAGGGACTGTGCTATAGATCTTGATGGGGGAAAGTCAAGGAGAGATGAACTTGCTTTTAAAAAGATTTGGTTATAGGAAGCGGAGTGACAGCCATACCGATATGTCCATTATTAAAGTTGTAATGTACCCCCCTTTAATCCCCCTATTAAAGGGGGTGGGCGGGGGAGCTTAGGAGTGGAAAGGTTTGCATTTTATCAGCATAAAGTGTGTTTTGAAATCCATGATCAATTGACCCCTTGTTTTCATGATACAAGGTGAGAGAGCTGTGCCGTTAATAAAAGGTATGGCTCCTGTGAGGGCATCATCCATGCTGTAACCTGGGTAACAAAAAAAAAAATTGTGTGAAGTGAATCTCCATAATGTGATCTATTTTATGTTCATTGTAGGCTTTGTTGGTGGAAATACTGGGCCTGACCTTTTTTCTGTGTGGTGTCCAAATGTTCTGCGGGACCATTTACACTCCATGTAGCGTCCATTATATAAATCCCCTTTTTATTCAACAAAATACATATTTTTAATAAAAGTACATTCCATTCAACGATTAGACTCTGTAAGCATACATATTTTCCTTAGAATAGTCGCATGCCATAAAGAATTGTCAAAGTTAGGCTGTCCTTTGATTTAAGTCCATCTCAAAACATGGAAAGCATGAAGAGGTCTACAGCTAGCATCAGCCAGACAGACGCCCTTGACTGTCACTGGCTTATGGTCGAACGCATTTAACTTCTTTTATCCTCTGATGGGTTTAGACAGACTTAGTGGCAAGGTGATATAAACCCTTCCGCACTGGCTGGAGCACAAAGGACAGTTTTTGTGGTTTGACTTACAGTGCTGTTTAGGTGTAAAGCAGGCAGGATGGATGTGCAAATTGCAGTTCCAGTGTACAACAGGAAAACAAGATACCATGTGTTATCAGCTCAAGGTAGGATGTATGAATCTTCAGTGCTCTATTTTGATTGGGCAGGGAATTGTGCTTCCCAATACATCATTGGCTTTGTTTACCTTGTTGGAGTCTTATACAGACTTTTTTATTTCTAGTGTTGTGGGTTTATTATCAGCTCAGATATTAAAAATATGTAATCTGCCCATCTCTTGTAATTTTATGTAATCCTGCAGCAATTATGATTAAAATTGGCCCTTTCCATGCTTTGTTTGACTAGAGAACTCCTCTCAATTTTACTATGTGGAAATGTTAGCAATCACTAGCTAATATACACTCGTGTACACCAAGAAGTGACTCAGACATATCTGATGCCTACAAACTAGACTTTTTGAAATGCTTAGAATTAAGTTGGGGGGGGGGGGGAAGAGAGAGTAGAATTTTCCTCTTGTGGTCTATAAATTATAGATTTCAGTTTGTATTTCTTAAAAAAAAAAAAAACATTTTTCTTTTCCCAAAGGCCTCATGCACACTGGACTATTTTTTTTTTTTTTTTTTTTTTTTTTTCCTTCTAGCCAGTAGCTTTTTTTTTTTTTTTTTTTTTTTTTAACGCCTGATACTTGTAAAAGTGTCTCAAACGTTTAGGCCTTTTTGCCGCTCCAGGATACCGTGGCAGTGGGTTTTTTTTTTTTTATCTTACACTAAACTCTGCTGCCACAAAAAGCTGTGTACGCTAACACATAGGATAACATGCAAGGGAATTAGAGGCAGTAAAAAAAAAAAAATGCTTAATGCCTCCAGCAGTAACATCAAAAACACCCAATATGCATGAAGCTTAACTTTGTGTGAGATGTAATAAATAAATTTAAAATAAAGATTTTTCTTTTTCCTTCCTTTTTTTTTTTTTCTCTCCTATATAATGATGACTAAATGATGCAATCTTTATAAAAGTAAGGGAGATCTCCTTCTGTTACATTGACGACACAATTTTTTGTACTTTCCTCTCACTTTAAGTCCTGGTGATGATGGTCATCACTACAAACTGATGAAAATCTCTGCAGAAATGCATACAGCACTTAAAACCTTGTAGTGGTTCCACCTTCTGACCACTCCTATCCAAATAATTTTTTTGCCTTTTAGATCTTCTTTAAAGCAGTTGTGCACACACCCCCTTAATGTTCCTGGCTGTGTTCACTTGGCTGCCTCTTGCCTTGTGACTTCCTGGGGCGAGCACTGCATTGGGAAAGGAGGACTAGGAAAATGCTGGATGCGGCATAATCAGATCTTCAGGCATAATCAGATCTTCAGACTGATCCCAAATCTGTCTAGCCACAATGTTAACTGGTACTCAATGAAGTGAAGGCTCAGTTGTCAGATACTTTTTTTTTTTTTTTTTTTCTGTAAATTATGACATGTCCAGAATAATTTATAAAATAACCTGGTGCATCAACTTAAAGCATTTGCCTGTAACCAAAATAGGTGTCCCCATTGGAAGAATTCCCCTCTATTTTTCCACTGTTGACTCAGAATTGGGGATTTTCTTTGTTCCAGTGACAATGGTGACCATGACAAATAGAATGAACCTCCCTAGCAGGGGTGCAGACAGCAGTAAATGCCTGACTGGGGTTGTAAACCTTCAACACTCCACCCAAAATAAATTTGACTTTACATAGACTTTAAAGCATTTCTCCAGCCACATGTTTGCAAGTGAGTGGAGAAGAATAGACGTTTGTTAGGTTCCTATTTGTCTGTGATCGCATTGAGGGGTTTTCCTCACTGTCGTGTCTCTGACTTTCTTGTAGAAAAAAAAATTGGGAGGGGTTCAGTTAGTTTTTCTGCTACAAATGTAATTGTATACTGATCTATGTTTTTATTTACAGTCCTGTAAAGTGTTATTGGAGGATGCAATTGCAGAATGTTGGCTACAAGTCTTGGAACTTGGCTCTGCTCCTTCGCTTATTTAACTATGCGCTGTTCTGAGCCATTCAGTAAACCATTTTGGGATCTCCTAACCGCATTGACTTGGCAGTAGTCTGAAGAAACTGTTAAATCAGGCTTCGTGCAGCACTTTGGTGTTGGCTGCATTGCTGGGGTGTTGTACACAGTGCTACTTTAATGTTCTGTATAGTCTGAATAAGTTGGATATCTTTTGTGTTCTTGCTTTTTTGTGCTCTGCTTAAGCCAGCCATATTTGGATCAAAATTAGGCTGCCTCAACACGGACCTGCAGAATTTTGATCTCTATGGGCACCCTGGTTGTACACAAGTTGATCTGTCAATTGATTTGTGTACAACAGCCTGTCGTTTTTCCCAAATGATTAATGCTGCCAACTATAGCCAGCAACACTAATCATTATGCTATGCCAGCAGGAAAGGCTCCTGCTGGCAGAACACAATAGCACTGTTGGAGGGATTCCCCCATCAACAGTGCTGATGGGGGAATTGAGCATTTGTGTTTGGTTTGTTTTTTCCTTCCACCCATGATCTATGTTTTGGGGTTTGCCAGAAGCTAGGAGGGTACAGAGTGGGCAGCAAACATAGTGCAACTGAAATCTGTTTTATCTTTTAGATCACCTATTTAACATAAAAGGTCCATCTCTGTTGTGCGTGTTCTGCATTCATGATGTAATTCAGTGGTATTCCCTTAGAATTGTGTATGATTGCATGAGTTTTCTCAATATTGATAAAGTTGTTTGACTGCAGTCTTCATTTACCATGCAAATAAAGCTTCAGCAAATGAGAGCTGACATTTTCTTTTCCTTCTTCCAGTCTGTTCCATGGGAAACGGTACAAGTCGCCTGTACAGTGCTCTTGCCAAGACTCTTAGCAGCACTGCAGCCATCCCCCAGCATCAGGACTACCTGGAACAGTCAGAGAATGACCAGCTGGATCCGCTGGACCCCAAGGATCTTCTGGAGGAATGCCAGGTTGCCCTACAGGGAAGGCCTCCCCGGCTCCATAGAGAATTTGTTCGAAACAGAGATGATTTCAGTAGCCCCCATGCCTTTAGAGTGATGCAGTGGAATATCCTTGCTCAAGGTAAGCGAAATGTAATTCACAAAGTAGAGCAGCAGGAACAAATCGTCTTCTATACCCACCATTACTTCTGAGGTTACAAAGAATAAGTATATGTGGGTTGTGCGAGACTAATCAAGCTTGATCTGCTCTTCCTGACTGCTTAGCACAGCCTACTTGGGATCCAGACTCATGATCCCTATCATAGTACACACATGTGATTTTTTTTTTTTTTTTTTTTTTTTTTTTTTTTTTTTTTTTTTTTTTTTTTTTTTTTTTTTTTTTTTGAAGGGACAAGCATGAAAATGTTTCTTGTATGACACCGGATTGTATGATTTTCATCAGCATAGTTTTCATCCAAAAATACATTACATCACTTCCGAATATTTTATATACTGCTCAAAAAATTAAAGGAACATTTTTTTAATCAGAGTATAGCATCAAGTCAATTTTAAACTCCTGGGATATTGATCAGGTCAGTTAAGTAGCAGAGGGAGTTGTTAATTTCATGAACACCAAAGCAGCTGAAACTGATTAACAGGTGCACTGGATCGGCAGCAATGAAATGACCCCCAAAACAATGGTTTTACAGGTGGAGGTCACTGACTTTTTTTTTTCCTGCTTATCTTTTCTGACTGTTTTTCAGTAGTTTTGCATTTTGCTAGGGTTCGTGTCACTACTGGTAGCATGAGGTGATACCTGGACCCTACCGAGTTTGCACAGGCAATCTAACTCCTCAAGGATGGCAATAAGTGCCATTTCCAGAAGGTTTGCCATGTCTCCCAGCACAGTCTCAAGAGAATGGAGGAGATTCCAGGACACAGGCAGTTACTCTAGGAGAGCTAGACAGGGCTGTAGAAGGTCCTTAACCCATCAGCAGGACCAGTAACTGCTCCTTTGTGCAAGGAGGAACAGGATGAGCATTGCCAGACCCCTACAAAATGACCTCCAACAGGCCACTGGTGTGAATGTCTCTGACCAAACAATCAAATGGACTTCATGAGGATGGCCTGATGGCCCAACATCCTCTAGTGGAGCCTGTGCTCACTGCCCGACACCATAGAGCTTGATTGGCATTTGCCATTTAACACCAGAATTGGCAGGTCCGCCACTGGCTCCCTGTGCTTTTCACAGATGAGAGCAGGTTCACCAGAGCACGTGACAGACGTGAAAGGGTCTGGAGAAGTCGTGGAGAATGTTATGCTGCCTGTAACATCGTTCAGCATGACCTTTTGGTGGTGGGTTAGTGATGGCCTGGGGAGGCATATCCATAGAGCCACGCACAGACCTCTACAAGCTAGACAATGGCATTGACTGTCTTGACTGTCATTGGTTATCGGGATGAAATCCTTGAACACATTTTTAGACCCTACGCTGGTGCAGTGGGTCCTGGGTTCCTCCTGGTGCATGACAATGCCAGGCCTCATGTGGCAAGAGTGTGCACGCAGTTCCTGGAGGATGAAGGAATTGATGCCATTGAATGGCTCCCGCACTTGCCTCACTAAATCCAATAGAATACCTCTGTGATATCATGTTTCGGTCCATCTGTTGCCGCCAGGTTGCACCTCAGACTGTCCAGGATCTCAGTGATCTCCTGGTCCAGATCTAGGAGAAAATACCCCAGGACACCATCGGTCATCTCATTAGGAGCATGCCACAACGTTGTCAGGCATGCATACAAGCACGTAGGGGCCATACAAACTACTTTCCATTTGAGTACCATTTTGAGTTGCTGCAATGAAATTTCAGCAAAATGGACTACCCTGTTGCATCATTTTTTCACTTTGATTTTTGGGGTGTGTTTGAGTTCAGTCCTCCTGAAGGTTGATAAATTTAATTTCCATCAAACGATGGAGCATCCGTATGTTTCTAACACATTACCCAGTCCATATAAGTATAGATATCCAGAGTGCTATTTTTCCCCAATTGAGATCTGATGTGTTTTCAAAGTGTTCCTTTAATTTGAGCGGTATATTTCTAACACACAGCATAGACAGAATTACACCCCAAAATACATTTTGCTACTTCTCCTGAGTATGGCAATACCATGTGTGAGACTGTTTCAAAGCCTAGTTTGAACAAAGGGTGAACAAAAGGTTACTTGTGGTTTTAGTAGAGTAGTTAAATTTTTTTGAGCAGTGTATTTACTACAACAAATGCATTTCCATGTTTTATGTACTGTGGGAGACAAGATATAGTGAATGCAGGGTCCTGGGTTTAGTAACACTTTTTAAATACCCTTGCATTTCTATGCCTGCAAATAATACTCACAATATTCAGTTGATTTGAAAATACTGTGCATTTGTGTAGAATAGATTGTTGTATGGATAATATAAGGCTCATGATACTTTTATATACAGTGTAAAATTAAAGTATTCCCCTTGCCTGGGTGAAGCATAACTTTTTTTTTTTTGTTTTGCATGATGACAATGGGTCCAATAACATTTTTATTTACCTGACTCTGTGCTTCTTTCTTGGCAGCCCTCGGAGAAGGCAAGGACAACTTCATAAAGTGTCCCAAGGAAGCGCTGAATTGGGAGGAGAGAGGAAGTATTTGATCCTGGAGGAGATCCTAATTTATCGTCCTGATGTCCTGTGCCTGCAGGAAGTGGATCACTACTTTGACACTTTCCAGCCAATACTCAGTAGATTAGGCTACCAATGCACTTTTTTAGCAAAGCCGTGGTCCCCCTGCCTTGATGTTGAGCACAACAATGGACCTGATGGCTGTGCCTTGTTCTTTCTGCAGGACCGATTTCAGCTCATCAGCAGTGCCAAATTCAGGCTGTCTGCAAGGACCCTGAAAACCAACCAGGTGGCCATTGCTGAAATCCTTCAGTGTAAAGAGACGGGCAGGTTGGTATGCTTTGCGGTCACCCACCTTAAGGCCCGTACCGGGTGGGAGAGGTTTAGGCTTGCACAGGGCTCTGATCTCTTGCGGAATCTTGAATCGCTCACACAAGGAGCCAAAATTCCTCTGGTTGTATGTGGGGACTTCAATGCAGAACCAACAGAGGAGGTATACAAGCGGTTTGCTTCCTCAAGCTTGAACCTTAACAGTGCCTACAAAGTGCTCAGTGAGGATGGAGAGACTGAGCCTCCTTACACCACCTGGAAAATCCGGCCCACTGGAGAGTCTTGCAATACTCTAGATTATATTTGGTATTCCCAGCATGCTTTGGAAGTGAATGCAGCCTTGAGTCTGCTTACAGAGGAGGAAATTGGACCAAACCGGCTCCCATCTTTTACATACCCATCAGATCACCTTTCACTAATCTGTGACTTCAGTTTTAATATGGACCCAGATAGGCTGTTATAGTTGTCCGTGACCGTAAACTGTAGCTGGTGTAGTGATGTGAGTTCAAGAACTCAATAATGCAAGTTCTCACATTGTATGTGCATGGGACATTTCCCGAACCTCTTATTTTTGAAGCTTGTATTCAGTTTCTTTATCAGTGAAGCTGTTTTGCCAAAACCTTTGTTGGACTTTTCTACTATCCAGTTAAAGGGAAGGTATAATGTATTTTAGTGTGTACACTTTTTCACATGATCACAGGTTACCTGAAAATGTGTCTTTTAACATTTTTGACACGCTTTTGATGTTTTCATGCTTTTACAGAGAACCTCTACAAAATTGTGCAAATCTGTTTATTGGGTGAAGCATTCTTGCAGAACCACTGCTGACATTACAGAATAAAGTAGTGAGCTAGTAATGGATTTACACTAAGTAGGGGATAAAGTTTGACAACTGCAGCACTACTGAGCAGGAAGCACAGCATGTATCATATGCAACAGAACAAGGGCCACCTCCACAGGCCAGATCTATAAAATATTTAAACATTACACTATAAAAATATATTTACAATATAAAGAATAATTGAATTGATAAGATTTTATTATGCAGATAAAGCTGTACAGCTAAGAATATTCTAAAAAGACTTTAACAGTTTGCATACTGTGCTAAAGGTAAAAAATAGGTGTAGCCTAGTATTTTTTTTATTTTTTTTTTTCATTTTGCTGCGGTTGTAGCATTTTCAAAACCAAATGCCTTTTTGCAAAGAGAGGTGCACATCTAGTTAGTTTACTATGTTCAGGTTGTTAGTCACTTGTTTAAATGTCACTTTCTGAAAGTATTTATTTTTCTACGGTAAACCATTATCAGCTCGTAATATTTATTTTAAAGGGGTCTGAGATTAGCTGCCATCATATCCTCTTCTTTTTTTTTTTTTTTCTTATTAAAATATTTTGAGGTGCAATATTAAGTTATGCCAGTTGAAAACCGGGGCCTGTACCCAGATCAAATGCATTTCTTATGTTTCTGTCCTGAGGTTTCCTTAGTTAAAAAGGAACCGTAGATGTTGAACCCGATTCCCGCACTAGTGCTTAATGCAGATGTTTATTTCTTGTTGGTAATTAAAACGGATTTTATTAATAGTCCTAACTGTAATTTATTTAGTTTTATAGAATTTCAGGACACTTGAATGTTCTTTATTTCAATGGAATGTAAAATTCCAGATCACGGTCTGTGTATTTCTTATGAATGATCGTGTTATGAGATGATGACCTTGTTGTTGCAGCATTGTATTAGAAGATATTTGATAACAGACCAAAGTACTATATCATTTCTTTTCGTGCAATTAAAATCCACTTTAAAGAAGCGGTTGTTTGTGTGTGTTGGTCATTCCACTTGGTATTTAAAAGTTGTCTTTTTCTTTCTTTCATTTCTAGACTTTTAAGGCTTTTTTTAATTACTTTTTTTTTACTTTTAGTAAGCTGCATGCTTAATGTATAACCTAAAGGCAGAAAGTTTATATTTTCGTTTTAGATAGTGGAAATGGATTAGAACCCCTGCCAGATTTTATTGCTGTCTGTCACATTTTTAGGGAGATTTGCTCTCCCATTTGTCCTGGTTTTTTTGCTATCCAAAGTGAAAAGCAAATTTCAATTTTTGGGTTGACCTCAGAACACAAAGGGAGGGAAATCTGCCAAAGGGGACACTAGTACTGGTGAAAATTCCTCCTGCTCTCAACAAATACAAGAACTCTCAGTACCCGTGCCAGCTGCTACCACCCTTTCCCTATACCAAAGGATGCATCAAATAAAATAAAATGGTGAAGCGCTATGCAAAATATAAATACAAAGTGTAATATTAAATTGAATAAAAGGAAAATTCCCAAACCTCTAAACCTGTAGGTGTTATGTACTAAAAACTACAAATCCATATCTCCATAAAAATACAAATAAAACCATGTGCAGTAATAAGCAGAAAATATGATTATATAGAACAAAAGGATGAAATATAATCTAGTGATAATAGTGAAGTATTATCTGGAGTGCCAGCCAACGGCTAACCAGAGTAATCTGGTGAACAACCGTGATATATCGCAGATAAATACAAAGCGACAAGTGCTCATCATAAGCATAAATGCAATCCACTAAAGTGCAAAACAAATGCCTGATATGCCAACCACATGGCTAACCAGACCAATACAGTGAAGATTAATGGGTGATATGCCACTCAATTAAAAAGTGGCAAGTGCTCAATAAAAATATAAATATAAAAGTAAAATGAAAATAAGATGCAGTCCACAATAAAAAAGTGCCAATTAATATGTGCAAATGATGAATGTGCAAATCCTGCAAAACATGCTTCACTTCTTCACTCCCCACTTGATATGTGCTTTTGGTGACACTCTGGTGTGATTATCCTTAAATAGCTAGAGTGCCTCCTTTACTCGACCCGTAGGGGCCACAGCTCATTAGATGTTCCACACCTGGAGGAATCTCAAAACCTGGCTCCACTAGGATTCCACTTATAGGGCTGGAGGTCCTCTACGCTTACAATCCACGTGGTGGAGCTCAGGCATAATGGATGTATATAGAGGAATAGACAAGAGACCTCCATAGTGCAATAATGTTTAATAAATTACATAAAACCACCAATCAAATGGACGCTCACATTTAATCCGGTACACTCCAGCGGTTTCCCATGTGCTATGGGTTTACTAAGGGATTTTGGGTGTATCAAGATGGCGTCACACAGGAACTGGAAATGCGTCACTGCGCTCTACGTGTTACACCACAGTAATCACGTGGCTTCTTCAGGATAGCGCGATTGGTGACAAGATCTTCTATTTATACTGACATGCTAACTGGCCCAAGGGGTGTGAACTTCACCTCCATTTTGCTGTAGCTCAATGTCTAATGTAGCGGCCATCCTTAATTATCGTTCACCCTTACATCCCAGTAAAATAGCCATGTAACCAACAGAAATACCTGCAAGGCATGGATATATATAAACCTAATGTGTATTAGATAAACAGTCCATTCCCATTCCTATGGCATTTAATCACCTTTGTTATCATGAAATAAACTTTATTAAGATACTAATTTAAACCAATAAAATATTAAAATGGGAAACAAAAAACAGGGGTGGGGTACCCTGAAGGAATATATCCCCACTACAATACAAATAAAATCTGAGTTTAATATTCTATACAATAAAAAGGCGGATAATAGAATTTATTATGATACTACTATAATAAAGATTTTTTTTTTTTTTTATTATTATTATTTTACTAGTACTGGTGACACACGGAGAATCCCTCACTTTTGAGGGATTTCCTCACTTCCTGTTTTGGCTCTGGGACAGCAAGTGAAGGGAAATCTCCCCAATGGGACACAAATATCCAAAATGAAAAATGTTTTGCACTTTTCAAGCTTGATTTGAAGCTTATGACAAAAGCAGCAAGATGTGTTCTGCAACCTGTTTAGAAATAAAAGAAAAGGGTGGGGCACTGGGCTATAGCAGCCCATTTTTTTTTTTTTTTTTTTTTAATTGGCTGCCAGCTCACCAACATTTTATCTGCTGCAGCACACCACTTCTCTCACGTACCATGCATTGCAGCTGTGGTTTATTAGTTTGTTCCTTGGCATACCAATCAAAATTGTAGTATGCAGGTTGCAGAGAAGACCACTGCATTGTGTAAAGGCAGCAGCCACTTTGCTGATTTCAAAGCTCTGGTTGTGTCAGGAGGCAACATGGCCCACATCAGAAAGCTGCAAAGGCCATGCCTTCCCTGGGATACCATTGGAATGATTCCCCACATTACACACGTTGAATAGAGCAGTCTTCCAAAATGCCACTCCACCTGGGGAGCCAAAGCCACCAAGATTCTGCAGGGAATGCATTCCAAGGTTTGCTACTTCAGCTCAACTTCAACCACACAATACAATAACAAATAGCCTAAGGACACATACATGGGTGGCTGGTGATATTGAAAGTAGGTGTGGCTTTACTGTTCCACTTAAAGTATAAATAAAGATTTTCTCACTTCCTGTTTTGGCTATGGGACAGGAAGTGAAGGTAAATCTCTCCTCACTGGGACACAGATGCAAAAAAAATAATCTGACGGGTTAAAACCCTCCCTTACTCCATCCAAGAGGGGGGTGAGGTTTTTGCCTATAGTTCTACTTTAAAGTGGCTTAAAAAGAAGGGGGGGGGGGGTGCACAGGCACCCATATTTTATACACCATGGGTTATAGGTGAATACCTTCCGGTGATTGGACACTAGCAAGCTTCTAAGGACACACCTCCCCTTTAATCCTACCCCACTCTTGCGTCCTCTGATTTTGAATGTACATGACACAGACAACTTGGTGTTACTAAACCCAGGACCCTGCATTCACTATATCCAGTCTTCCACTATACACAGAACATGGAAATGCAATTATTTTATTAAATATAAACTGCTAAATACCTTTTCTCATCCGTAGTTAGAGCAGGCTTGTGACTATCAGTGTTCAGCAGAGTACTGGTTAAAGTTTTATAGGAGGAGTTTTTTCTTTCTGCTCTAGGAGGATGGAGGACCCTGACTTCTGTCTGGACAGTGCTGATTGGCCCTAGGATCGCATGCACTCTCAAGGGGAAAATAAACTCTAGTATTACACACCAAACTGAGCATGTGCAGAGTGATTCTACACTGTCTTATCCGGAGATAAGAGGATACTGGAAGAAGGGGAGGAAAAGACAATCAAATGGCCTTTTTACACAATGCAGAGGATTAACCCCTTAGGTTCCACAGGGAGTATAACAAGCATGCTTTACTGCATATACACACTGATTTTACTGTTGTGGGTTTAACACTTGAATCATACACCATGGGACTTCCCCAAGCAATGAATACAAAGGTGGGCAACAACAAGGCAAACCGAACTGTGCCAACAGGCCCAAGAAACAACCAGTGTCAAACCCCATGTTCAGCATGCTATAACAAGAACCTCACAGTTGAAAGCTGCATATGCAAAAGCAGGGAAATC